CCACTCTACTGTACTCGCTGACGTGTCAGTTCCAGCCGTAAACATGTTCTGCACAACATCATCACAAAAACACTTCAGACTGGACAGGAGACAGCAATACATAGAGTAAGATTTTTCTTTTTTAAATAATTTATGCAATAATTTATTTGATGATATCGACAGACGACAGGGGAGGATTATTCATAAAAGATCTGATAAGATTTTAAATTTTCTTTACGGGTCACTAAGATCTCCACTCCATTAATTTCTAAAATAATAATAAAAAAGTAGTTGAAATATTATTTTGGTACATTGATTTTCAATATATTCATTTATTCCTTCAGTAATTTCAATTTTATTCATTTTAATTTATGTACTTTCAACGTCTTCGTTTGAGTCTCCACCTTTTTAAAAAGGGATCATTTTGATCATTTAATCATATTTTTAATTTTACTTTTTTCTATCACAATTTCGACACTATCTGTAATAAAAAATGTTATTATGTAATAATAATTTTATATGGCATGATTTTAGTTTCGTATAGAATTTGTATTCTAAACTTAAAAACATAAATTAAAATGACTCCGTTTTAAAATTATATGTAACTTTATTTTTATTAGCTTTATTTTTATTATTTTAAAATTTCTAGGTGTAGCAGACTTGAAAACATGAAAGGAAAACGTGGAAGTGCTGATCACCACTCGTCAATCAGTGACGTGTGAGAAACCACGTCATTAAAACCTTTGTTTTCTTAAAAATATTTTGTTTCTTAAGAAAACATTTAATTTTCTCTAATTTGTGAAAAAATGACAAAAAAAGAAATAGTGAGAAAATAATACCAACAACAAGGCCTTGATCTCAGTGTCATTAAGCTTCTCGTTCTCATCATCAGCTCCATCCTGCGAGAACAGAAGCGTGCTCAGCAAGTCATCGTGCTGCCCGCCGTCGCCGCCCATCCGCCGCTCCTCTAAAATCTCCGTCAAGAAATCGTCGAACCACCGGTGGACCTTCTTCATCTCGCCGGCCACGCCCTGCAAATCCAGCCGCTCGAGCGACGGAAAAAAGTCGCCGGCGTTGAACTTACCGGACA